TAATTAACAGCCAATCCCAGTCTGCCTTCTTGGGGCCATTCAAGATTTGATAGGCTTTTGTCATATTCCCTATGAGATATCTCATGGGATGTATTATATAACTTTGATCTTACTTTTACCCCTTGCTAAACCTTTTTCAGGTCTATAAGAAATCCCTTTTTTGACATTGGGAGACCAGAACTGCACATACCAATTAAAGCGTGGGTAGATGGGCAAAAAATTGATTTGTGTTTTAACATTTGTTCTCTCTTTCTTTAATAATTCCTGGCATTGCTTTGCTTTTTTTTTTACCTTATTGAAAACACTGTACCGATAGTTTAATGAAGCAGTGAATCAAAACAGTGAAGTCTTCATGAGCAATATTGATGAGTTCAGAGCACATTTATATATAAAGCTGAGGTTGCGTTCCCCCAAGAGATATATTGCTTTGTGTTTACCTACATTTAATTTTATTTGCTGTTTTTATTGTCCAGTCAGTCTCATCAGGGTCTTCTGTGATTTCATGCAGTTTCCTGTTACCCTTGATATCTTAAATAACTCTAGCATCAGCAAACTTTCAAGTCACTAAAACGGATGTCTTCATCTTAGGCAGTAAAACAAATGCACTGCTTGCTCTGGGCTTCTGGAATCCAGCGGTTAATGGATTATGTTTTTGGAATTACTGAGCAAGAGACATCATTTTAGAGTGCTTGTGCAGCTTGCAGGCTGGAAGCTTGAGCTGTGGACATTATAAACATAGAAAACTCTGTCTTGTAGTACATAGCTTATTTCATATCCCAGACATTAATTTGTTGGTGACTACGCTGTCTTGCCTGCAGAGACTTGGGGAAGTTCTGAATCTGTGTTTTACAAGGGGTTAAAGAGGCTGTATTTCATAATCTTTTCTTCAGTTCTGCCTTTTGAGACTGGCTAAGTGACCTAAAAACGTCTTTCCCTAATTATTTGGGCAAAAGTTGTCAGCCTAAATATATCAAAACCAAAGAACTTGTACAAATAGAGAGTGAAAGTGTACTGACTTCGTTAGATGTGAATGTTACTATTTTCATCTGTTTGAGGTATTTGGTGTTTCAGAAATGCTCAGTAGCTTCAAATTTGAGGCATCAGTTATTTCTATTTTTCTGGAACTTTTAAAAGATAATTCTAAGATGATTTATAATTTTCTTAATAATTCACAATTTCTTAATAGATAAAACTGCTTCATACCTCTTTAACTTTGTATTTTCAACCAAAGGCAAAAGCCTAATACCTTCTTTGCTGCTTAACCCTGTCTCACCTTACAGGCACAGGAAACTATTTTTCGTACTCTTGTAATTGAGCCTTACTTTTGTCACAGCAATATTAGCATAAATAAGCATATTGAATAATGGATGCGATTAAAATCATCACAATAAGAAATCATACACACACACCCTTCAGTTTTCAGGTTTCTAAATAGTACATAAGAGTAACCCTGAAAGCATTTCATGTTGCCTGGGTGGATGTATCCTATCAGTTAACAGCAAGGAGCAGAGCTATGCTATTGGGCAAAACACTTTTAAGTTATTATTTATGGAGTTGTATTTGCAGTTGGTATAAAATGCAGGACTGGTTTCACATGCCTACACCAGAGCAAGGAGAGCACGCTCCTGAACAAGATTCCCTTTTGTTTCCTGTACTATGTGTGCTGTGGAGAGAGACACGTCTGGGAAGGGGTACAGGTTAGAGCAAATCGTTACATTTTAGTTTAGGAATGCAGTCTTTCTATCTGATATTTTGGGCTTGTTTTGGCTTTTTTCCATCCTGATTAATTTTATAATTAATACTGTAGTTCTAACATTAACCAAATGTTTTCTCATAATGTCTTGTGTCTGTTGATAGATGAGTATTTTGTTTAATAGAGTAATATGAGGGACCTCCAAAAGTTTCTCTTGACTGTCTTGTGAAGTTACAACTCAATTCCACTGCAACATTTTAGTGTTAAAATTCTACTTCTCCCTTTCCCCCCCACTTTCTCCCTTTTCCTTTCTGGAGAAGGTGGTGGTGGGAGAAAGTGGCACTGAGAGGTTATAAATTCACTTTAGGAGCCTGAGTGAGCAGCTGCTTCTAGAACCTGTAATGCTAATTAATGTCCTTATTTTAAGTTAAGTTGGTCTCATTTGTATCCTTTTATAATTTTTTAAACTATAATTACACAGTGGTCTTTCAGTAAGAAAGTAACTACTAGAGCTTAGTTTCTCTGGAAGAAAAACAGAAACAGTGGTCCCTAACCCTCCCTGTCCACTAAGTATCTTTGAAGTTTCTGGAAATGTGATTTTTACCTTTGACTTTCAGTAAACCACAAACAGTTTATTTCAATGTCAAATTCATGGTTATTTTAAAGTAATGGTGTGATGAAACATGAGAATTATACTTAGTTTCTTGGTTTAGTTTCACTTACATCACTTTGCTATGCATTTGCTGTTCTTGAAGCAAATACTATTGCATGTTTTCAGGAATACTTCTAAAACATGCATTTTTTACAAGTCCATTGTAGATGAGAAACATTTGACTTCACACGGTCTTTTGTCACTAATGACCTCTGTGATATATTCGTAATAGTATAAATGGTTTCTACTGTAAAAGCTAATGTTAGCCTGTATTTCTTTTTTTAAGATTATACATCCAGTGGGTTATGTTACTGTATTACTTGCTGTAGTAAGCAGATCCCAAATGTATTGATCTTTTACTGTGCATGCAAAGATCATGTGTGTAGTGTCTATCTGGCATGTTGTAAGGTATGCTAGGCTTGGTGAATGTGCTCTGCAGACTTGATAAATGTGTGCTGCAAATGGCCATGGCTGCCTGGCTGCAGGCCAGCTGGAGGGCTACGGCTGTCTCTGGATTGCCAGACAGGGTTGTCAAGCTCTGCCCCAGTGTATGATAGTCATATTGTTGCCAGTACCTTAACCTTCAATACAGCACTGGTTTAGTAGCTCTATGACATGTCAAAAAGCCATGGTTCTAATTTACTGGGTTTGTGCAAGAGTAGAGCTTTTCCTTTAAGGTAATTTTTTAAATGCAGTCAGCTTCACAACAAGTGAAATTTGTTTGATTATTTCTCAAGCATGCTATGGACAACTTTTTTATGTAGTCTGTAGAACATCAAAAATACCATTCAATAGTAGTGATGCCAGTTTACTAAACAACTCTATCCTCTTTGGTCTTTTCAGTTTTACTTTTCAATTGAATAAGATCAAAAGCACAAGTAAGTGTTCAATTCATAAACATGAAAAAGGTAAGAAATGTTTGGTCTTACCTGTAAACATTAGCATCTGTTTCTGGAATCTAGTAGGCAGTTAAAATGATATGTGTGTAGCAAACATATTATCTTCATGGGGCTTTTCTGGTTTGGGTTTTGGTTTTCTTAGGAGTGTCTCATTTCAAATTATCTCTCTGTTATTTAATCTTCTGTGAAGGCGTTCTGATTACTAGTAGCTGTATGGCAGGACCGCTGCATTTTTGACATTCTGATGATGAAACTGCAACAGCAAACAAAGTTTTCTATGTCTGTTCATGTCGGCTTTTAGAGCTAAAGGGAATCTGGAAGCTATAAACAAATATTTTCAGTGTCTTAAAATGAAACTTCCTGTTGCTTCTGTTAACAGCACTTAGGGGTCTGAGGAGGCAAAACTCCTGGAGTTTTACTGACTTTGATAAAAGTCAGGTTTGAAATATACCTGTGTGCAGCTGAGGTGGTGGTGGAGAGGAAGGAGTATGTGTAAGTGGATGGTGTTAATTTTGTTAGCTGAAATGTATTGGTATTCCTGATCACTCTGTGTTTGTGTTGCATGTCTCATGCACCCAATCTGTACCTTTGAAATGCTTCACTTTTTAAAGATGTGGAAACAACTAGATGTGTTTCTCATCAGCCACAGGGTACTGGACTCAGATAAACCTGATCACTTACTTCCACCCAGAATCTGCAAGAAACGGGAGTGGAAGTTTCTTCCTCTCAATCTTCCATCCTGTGTCTTCTGACTCAGGGGAGATGAAGAAAGCTGCCAACGAACTCACTCTTGCAAGAGGGAAGAAGATCCCAATGTGTCTAATCTTTTTTGTAGTCCATGTTTCAAATTATGGCTGTTGGCTAGTCTATCCTTTTTTAGGTTGTCTTCCAGAACTAACAGTTCTAGTGATAACTGCAGTGTTCTAGTGATAACTGCAGCGTTTGAGTCTGCTGCAGCTGCTTCTGGTTTGAGTAAAGTCAGCATTGTTTTCTGGGGTTTTGTTTGTTTGCTCGTGGTTGGAGTGATGGTTTTGACAGTTGTCTGCTGTTTGAGAAAACTTGAAGGCAAGGTAAAGATGCTGAAGCGTCCTGACTGCGGACCATGGAATGCAGTGGGTTACGTCTGGTTTATTCTCGGAGATAATACTCATAATCGTATGACTAGTATTACATTTTCTAAAATCCCATGTGTTTATTAGAATGGTTTTTAATAATAAATGGCTTCAGGGAATCTGAATTTGTCAACTTATTTTAATTTTTATAAAATTCTTCTTCTCTGCAACTGCTGTTACTCTCTCAGTACATTAGTTACCAAACTGGTGGTAATCTTTTCTCAGATTCAGTGTTGTTGGTAGTCAGGCTGTTGCTTGAATACTCCCACAGTATTTTCCTTCCCACAGTCAGAAATAAAGAACACTGCTGTCCTAATAAGCCTTTCTTTTGCTAGCTAACGAGTGAACTCGGCAATATGGGTCACTTATAAAATATCCTCGGTTCACTGCCATTTGTGGAAAGAGAACTGAAAAAAAATATAATTTGGAATGGAGCTGTAGGAAGTACTTATTTCTTGTTAAAAATTTAAAAAAAAAAAAAAAAAAAAAAAAAACAATTGGTCAGTCACATGCATTCTGTTTGGCTCTAATTTGTGGTCTTTACTGCTATTCTGGACTTCTGGTCTTAAATAAAGCATTATAAAAAAAAGACATTGCTTTTCTTTCATATTTTATATCTAAGATTTTTTTCTTTCTGTTTGTAGATTTGTTTGTAAATGCATCATAAACAGACAGCCCAGAATGAAGAAAGCAAGCAGGAGTGTTGGCTCAGTGCCCAAAGTGCCTGGAGTAAATAAAACTCAAACAACCGAAAAAGCCAAACCAGAAAACGGCTCCTCAGTGTCTGCAGTAACAAAACTCTCCAAAACTGGGACATCAGCATCTCTTTTGAAGGTAATAACCAATAGAACACTCTGATTATTTAGATTTTTTTACAATAAACCTTTAAAAAGAAGATAATTTTAAGGTATGTCTTTAATGCAGCTTAGACTAGAGGTTTGTTACATGGGTAACTGAAGGGCATTTGTATAGTTACACAGCACTGGGCAGGGTGATAGGACCTTTTATGGCATTTGTGCTGTATTTTTCATATTGCAATGTGTGATGTGATGGAAAGCAATATACTTTTCAGAACTTGGCTGTTCTGCAAAAGGAGCAGAGTGGAAGTTGCATTCTGATGAAAGTTATTAGTAGTGTCATGTGTTATGCCTGAATGGTGTGTCAGTGACAAATGGGATTTGATAAGAGTTATTTACTAGTTCTGAAAAAAGAAATAATGAGGTATCTAACATGAGAAACTTTCTGATATTGGTGATCCATGTCAGGTCAGTGCAGCTGCTGCCTTGTAGCTGTTCTGGCCCTTGCTTTATGTGAAGTACTTCTTGATCTGAATTTTCACAAGTTGATTCTTGCTCCTAGAACAAGTTCAAAGGTAGAGGTTTTCGCTTATATTAGCAAAACATGGCAGTAGACTTAGGAGCATATGGTTTTCAACAACCAAGAAAAATAAGACGTACTGAGATGTGCTGGTGTGGAGTTTTCACCTGGGAGAGAACACATCTGGGCAGGACGGGTGGTATGAGCCTGCCTGGTGTGCCCCTCACTCCTGGCATGGAAACATAGCTGGACCCACCTCCTTTTGCCTTTCTGCAGCCCAGTATGCAGAGCTGTGGCACTGCTGCCCTGGAGCAAATGAACAGAACAAGGAAAAGGACCGATGTCTGCAACTGGGACCTGAACCACTGTCACCTCCAGGAAGCCCAATAGGCCATTTAAATAACTGGCAAATAAAGACCTAAAATTAAAGAAGTGGTAAGGGTTGAGGTCTTTCTGTAATAGCTATGCAGGATTACTGAGGTAAAAAGGTGTGTTCCCTTTCTCTCTTACTTTTCTTTTATGGAAGAATGGTTAAGACTTTTGCTGAGGAGCTTGCAAGCCAGGTTTGAGCTAAATTTTCTCCTGGTGCCCCTCCTTTCCTCTGCCACACAACATTTCTTGCAGTTTTCTTAACTTTAATTAATCTTTTGATGCTTGTTGAAACTACTTATTTTGTATTTCTAGAAACCTCTCAAAGAATATGGAAACAAAAGTCCTTTGTACTTTACTTACCAAGTTTCTTTTGTCATACCTCTCAGTGAGATAAAGGAGGGGTATGATCTAATACTGAAGAAATTTGACCCACTAGGCTTTCACAATTTTACTTATATTGCTAACACTTCTGGCTATGCTCGGGTGTCAAATTAGAATTTGTGACAATTGTATGTTTGAGGCACAATGAAAAAATTTCTCTTAATTACTAAGATTTATCTCAGCTTTACGTTACAGCCAGGATTACTCATACAGTTGGATGTCTTTTACTTAAGCTGCTGCTGTGCCAACTATGTGACTTACTAATAATGATGACTCTTCCCTTCTTTGAGTGTTCCATACTTCCACAAGAAAGTTAGTTGTTTGTATTTTTTTGACTTACTGATACTGACAAGTCATGTTTGTAATAACTGACTTGAAAGAAGTATCAATAACAAGTTATATTACTTTTCAAGTAATTTTTTGTATAGTTTTATATTTGATCTTGTTGATGAAGCAATTGGCACATTGTTTTCCTCATAGTGGTTGTAGGTTCCTCTTTCTTGATGAATTGGTGTGGGTATTTTGAATTTCATTTAATATTCCTTGGCCAACAAAAAAAAAAAAGGAAAAAAGCCTGCGTTAAATAAGTTTAATTGCATCAGTTTACTAATTTATTTGGTCCTCAAAGTAAGTGTGCATATAGATACAGATAACTTTGGACTTTGAATGAAAGGCCACTATTAAGCAGTAGAAATACACATTTACAGTACTATACCAATCTTAATTCCGTCAATAATAATGTTGCAAAATTGAAAATTACTTTGTAATTATAGTCTGGTTTTGTTCCTATCCCCTTCATGATGTAACTGTCAGCCAGTTTTCAGCTTTGAGTGGGCTTCTTTCACTATGCATTGTTCCATAGATTTGTCCTTATTTTGTGGAGTTTTTCAAAGTGTGTGGACAATGAACACATGAAGAAACTGGGAGACCCACCCTTCTCTACAGCTGAACACTGTTGCAGAGGTGGGGCTGTCTGTCAGCTTCAGAACGTCTTTTTGTCGGTTACTTCTTTGTAGGCTTTTGGCTCCCACTTTGCTCAGGGCTTCTGTAAATATTCAGGACCCCACCACCACCCCACACACATTATTACAGCAGAAGGTTAACTGCCAGAAACTTCTAGTTTTTAATCTGTCAGAAATACTCTGCAAATAACAGTGTGTGTTTCTATTTTTAAGATTATTATTTTTTGCCTTCTTTAGCTAATGAGCTTGTGATCATGCTAACACGACTGTAATTAGACAGCAGCTGTACTTCATGCAAATGAATTGCAAAATCCAGTGTCCCTGAAAAGCCGGGACTTGGACACCAACATTTGAATATTAAAAATTAGAATGTGTTTCGGTCTTTATGTGTCTGGGCTTCAGTATTCTGTTTGCAAAATGCAGTAACTTAATTACAGATTGTTGTGAAGTTTCTTGTTTGAAGCACTCAAATGAAGCAACAGTGAGCATCAAAGAAAATCCCCGGTAGGAATAATTAGATAGAGATAGATATATATATATAAATGGATTTGAATGAGGTGCAGTAAGAAAGATATGCATGTTGAGAAACTAAGATGAAATGAATTGTAGAGGTGATCATTCAAGTTTCTTTTCACTGAAAGAAAGGTGTGAGGGAAAATGGAGTATGAATTGTATAATTTAAAGTGGTTTTATATAGAGAAAATCAAAATAAGTCTGGATGAGCATTTCTAATTAGGGTATTTTCTAATTTTTTGTATTTTAATGTAGGGGTTTTAATGCTAAGTAGAATTGCACTGTTCTCAGTAAATGGGAGGAACTGTTCTTCCTTGAGGAAGAAGCTGTTTAATAAACATAAGACATTGATTTTGCTTCCATTAAAACTATACACTACAAAAATACTTTGATTTTTAAAGTCAAAAATGGTTGCCTTTGTGGAGCATTCAGAAAAGAGAGCTGCTGGTTTGTAATTTTTCCAAAGCTTTGCTAAATAGTTTTCTTTGCCAAGAGTGTAGTGTTACAATTTTGAGAAACTGTTTACTAATTGGCTGCAGAGGAGGCAGTGCCTTCCAACCTAGACTAGAAATAGTTTATGGGTAAATTGGAAGAAGAATGACTGTCTTAAATTCCTTTGTTCAGCAAGGACTGGAGATGACTAATATCAGAAAGTGTGTATTTTACGTAGTTTTTTTTTTTTTTTCTCCTCAATCTGAGTCACATCTTGACCTATTTGGCTTGATAATATATACTTGTACTGTAAGAGTCTGAACGCTTAATCTAATTTCCCCACTCTTTCAACAGGGTACAAACGCTGACAGCTAATAGTCCATTTGAACTATCACATTTGCCAACAGATTGGTAGATTGAGTAGCAAAGTAGAAAATCACTGTTCTGTGCCTTTTTGTGATACCTTAGTTTAGGTGATAGTTGCATCGCAGGGTTGTTTCCCTCACCCTCTACCCCCATGCCCCCCAGATGAGTTTAGATTGGATATGAAATCTGATTAGATTACAGGTTAATGGAGGATTGTCTAGTCTGTGCTCAACTCTTTCCCCCTGCACAAGTAGTGTGGGCTTTGTTGATTTTGTAGCCCTCCAACATTTTTATTTTCCCATTGGTACTCACATTGCATCTGCTGTTTTGCACGGCTGTGTGACATAGCAGATCAAGGAACTGATCTGGCTCCTGGGAGGAAGGAGCCCTTTGAAAAGGCTTCAGTTTACAGAGCGCAGTGTGTAAGCACATGGAGAAGAGCAGGATAGAACAACAGTGGCCTTTTCATAGCAGAAAAGCCAGCTTAGGTGCACATCAAACTAGATCTTCAGAGTAATGTGTTTTCTTCCAGTCTTTTATAAACCTTTTTAGAAGGCTATACCATTTCCTACAAGATTTGATAAAAACATTCTTGTCCTAGAGGATTTTACCTTTGCAAATACCTGTTTCTAGCTGTAAATTATTTGTATTTCTGAAAACTGCTTGCCGAACAAATATGTTCTCTTCCCAAGCTCCCTTTTGTTTTCCAGCTGCTCTTTGTAAATGACACAAATCCCACCCATGCCTTTCCCACGATATCATGATCAATGTTCCTGAAATTCTCACTTGCAAAAAGAAACTATATAGAATGGAGTGAGAGGCAACTTTTTTTTTTTTAATTAAGCAAGTATACCTTCATTGTTAATGTATAGAATCGTAATGTCTAACATGTTTTTAACATGAATATGTATGGGAGCTAGAAGTTACAAACCTGAAGAATTTGCAAGTCATGTTGTAAAGCAACTGGTTGATTCCTAAGCATTACCTTTTAGCTGAGATGCTTGTTGAGACCTCAGATATGTTTTCCAGCTGGATAATACAGTTACTCAAGGAATGCTGCTAAAGCAGCTGTTTTCTTTTAATTGTTCCTGCCCTTATAGTGGGAGAAATGTTTAACATATTTTGATTGTTTTGTCATTTAAAATGCAATTTTTTAAAGAGTTGCAAAGTCTGCCAATTAAAAGTTAAGAACATAGTATTTCTAGAGTTTGCTTTATTCAGAAAGATGTATTTTCTCTTTGGGAATCTGGTTCCTGAGACTCCTGTATTTACTGCCTTGTCACATTCCAGGCAGCTTTTGTGGCTCACAGTAGTTTCAGGAATGATCATATGAGGTCAAACAAAAAGTGCATCAAACAAATATCCGGTCTCTGAGAGTGCCTAATAAAGAGTATGAAAACAAGGCAAAGATATATGGTGAAGGTGGCTTTTTCCCACCCCCTGAATACTGTCCCAATCTCTAGTGATTCGTAGCTTAGTATTTTGAGCTAGAAAGGGTATTTTATTAAAGTTGATTTGATTTTTTTGTTGTTCTTTAGTTTGACCTTTTTGTTGTGAACTTGTCCACCAGAAAACTCTGATCATATTCTATTGAAGGACATTATACTAACTTCCTACTATTTGGTGATTTAATTATTTAAGAATTGTCTTCTTTTTTTATGCTTAAGCAAACCTTCAGTCAAAATTGAGAAGTGTTACACTGGGTTGTGTTTCCTTAATTATTTTTTTTTCCCCTTGCTTGGTATTGAAGCATCAATTATTTTGTCTGGGAGAAAGAAGGCTCAGTTTCTATGGTCAATCATATGTAAGGAGTTGAAATTCAATTTCAGCTTACCAACCCTGCACAGTGCAGTGCATTTATACTTTTCAGCATTCTTACATAGACACATGACTAGTCAAATATGTACTTTTTAAACTGATGGAATCCTTAACAGAAGAAATGTTGGCTATGCAGACTTCTCAGCCAGCTGTCTTAAAGCTGCTTCTTCCCTTTCTTTCAGACTAAGAGTAATGATGACCTCTTAGCGGGGATGGCCGGTGGTGGTGGAGTGACAATGACCAATGGTGTCAAGGCAAAGAAGAGCACTTGTGTCTCAACAGCATCTTCAGCATCAGGGACAACCATGAACAGTCTGGAAAATAAACCCAAAACTATTGCAGGTAAATGGAGAAATTGATCCTTAAAGATGGTAGTTGGGTGACTTTTTATTTTCCTATTATACACTGAGGATCCAGACTGCTTTATGAAGTGGTCAGTAAGGCCATGGTCAAATCAAACACCTCCTGTGCTCTTTTCCTGTTTTTTAATAATATAATTGACTTTCTGGAGGGTGTTCCTTTTAATTTTTTCAGTACTGATTATGCAACTACTGTATAAAACTAGATAATATAATTAATCTAGAGAATCACAGATTTGTCAAAAATCATTTAATTTGTCTAAAAAAAGTCCATGCCACAAATACTTGTTGAAGTTAACATTTTGGACATTCTGTATTGCTTTATAGAAATAAAGTAAAAAAAAATTCTTAGCTTTCATTTTGGGGAATCACAATATGCAATCCTTCACCGAAAAGCTTGCATTTAAATCTACTGAGAAGAGAAACAAATTTGAACTTGTAGGAATAACACTGCTGCAGTTTTTGTATAATTTATCAAAAGCTGTTGAAAACAGAAAAGAAACTTGCAAATGTTAAACTTTAAAGTCTAACTTATTTTCAAAATACTGATAAAGCATAGCAATTGGTAAAGCATGTATCAATTAAAATGTAACTGCACTGATTCATGACTAAGTTTGCGTAAATATTTACTCTAAATGTATTTTATGAAATGTGTTTACCAGTGTGATTCAGAAAATCAACCACTGTCTTGCTGGTACAAAATACAGTCTTCTGTTACAGATACTGTATTTTAAATTAATGTTCCTAACTTTCAAAAAACATGTAGGTACAAGTTCCACAACTAAGCGTAGCACTTCATCTGGAAATAAAGAGTCAAGCTCTTCTAGAGAAAGGATACGCGATCGTTCTCGTTTAAGCCAGAGCAAAAAGCTGCCTTTGACTGGACAGGGGACCAATGATACGGTACTGGCAAAACGCTCCCGTAGTCGCACCAATCCAGAATCAGATATTCGAATGAGCAAGTCCAAATCAGACAATCAAATCAGTGACAAAGCTGCACTGGAAGCAAAGGTGAACGATCTTTTGACATTGGCAAAAACTAAAGATGTAGAAATCTTGCATCTGAGGAATGAACTAAGGGACATGCGTGCTCAGCTGGGACTTAATGAAGATCAACTTGAAGGTGATGAAAAATCTGAAGAAAAAGAGGCCATTGTTGTACATCAGCCAACTGATGTAGAGTCTACGTTGCTACAGTTACAGGAACAAAACACTGCCATTCGAGAAGAGCTCAACCAGCTGAAGAATGAGAATCGAATGTTAAAAGACAGACTAAATGCATTAGGCTTTTCTTTGGAACAAAGGCTGGACAACTCTGAAAAACTCTTCGGCTATCAGTCTTTGAGTCCAGAGATTACAGCTGGCAACCATAGTGATGGTGGTGGTACTTTGACATCTTCAGTGGAAGGTTCTGCTCCTGGATCAATGGAAGACTTGTTAAGTCAGGATGAAAACACTTTGATGGACAACCAACATAGTAATTCCATGGATAATTTAGACAGTGAGTGCAGTGAAGTTTATCAGCCACTAACATCAAGCGATGATGCCTTAGATGCGCCATCATCTTCAGAGTCTGAAGGCGTACCAAGTATAGAAAGATCTAGGAAGGGAAGCAGTGGCAATGCAAGTGAAGTGTCTGTAGCTTGTTTGACAGAACGAATACATCAGATGGAAGAGAATCAACACAGTACAGCTGAAGAGCTCCAAGCCACACTTCAAGAGCTTGCAGATTTGCAACAAATAACACAAGAGCTAAACAGTGAGAATGAAAGACTTGGAGAGGAGAAAGTAATCCTTATGGAATCTTTGTGCCAGCAAAGTGACAAGTTAGAACACTTCAGCCGTCAGATTGAGTATTTTCGGTCCCTTTTAGATGAACACCATATCTCATATGTAATTGATGAAGACATGAAAAGTGGTCGCTACATGGAGTTAGAGCAACGGTATATGGACCTTGCAGAGAATGCTCGGTTTGAGCGAGAGCAGCTGTTAGGTGTTCAGCAGCACTTGAGCAACACTTTGAAGATGGCAGAACAAGACAACAAGGAGGCCCAAGAAATGATAGGGGCATTAAAAGAACGAAATCACCACATGGAACGGATTATTGAGTCAGAGCAGAAAAGCAAAACAGCGATAGCATCTACCTTAGAGGAGTACAAGGCCACAGTAGCCAGTGACCAGATTGAGATGAACAGGCTGAAAGCTCAGTTAGAGCATGAAAAGCAGAAGGTGGCTGAGTTGTATTCTATACACAACTCTGGAGATAAATCAGACATACAAGATTTGCTGGAGAGTGTCAGGCTGGATAAAGAAAAAGCAGAGACATTGGCCAGTAGTCTGCAAGAAGAGCTGGCACACACTCGCAATGATGCCAATCGATTGCAAGATGCCATTGCTAAGGTAATGTTTAAAACAAACTTGTATTTTAACATCCCATATACAACATGACTTACTGTTGGTCACTGTAGTTCTTTCAGAAGTAAAGGATTAATTATAAAGCTAGTCAGATTGTAGTAGTCTTAGAATTGCTTACTTCCTCTTAACCTTTGTTATGAAAATGGAGACCTTTTTAAAAATTACATGGATACATTCAGACCCAAGGTAGCTGCCATGTTACTTTTTTAAATTACTGGTATTTAAACTCCACAACTTATTTCAAAGGTCAAACTTAAACAGTATTTAAGATACTGTATGAATTTTGTGCTTAATCTGCATGCCTTCTGTAAGAATTAAAAGGAGTTCGTGTCATACTGATGCAAGAGGGATGTCACTGCGGAAGTACTGGGAGCCAAAGTTTGTAATGATAACCCAGCTGTTGATGTGTTGTAGGACCTTTCACAAGTGTTGAAAGAATAGTTTGAAGTTTCAGCTTATTCAAGTTGGTTCAGTTAATTTAGAATAAACTAATAAGGAGAGCAGAAAATCATCTTCATTTTCCAATCAAGAAATTATTAATTTTCATGTAGACAGAGATTTTTACCAAATTTAATTTAGTTTACTGAACACATATTTTAGTATTAAATCAAAAAATAAAAAATTACAAGCTTTTAATTATTATTAAGCATGGCAAATACACATAGGTTTTTTTACTAATGATCCATCCAGGAGCAGCTTGTGTGTTGACTGGGTTTTGGATTTGAATGTATATTACTAGTTCTAGAACAGTTATTTTGACTCAAATAGAACTAATTTATCTAGTAAATATGTCTAGTAAAAGTATTTACCATAATTTAATATAAAAATAAGAACGATAACGTGTATTTAATAACTGTAAATGTGCATTTAAAGGTATATCTTCCTGAGGAGAAAATTTATGTCAAATTTAATGTCTGAACTACATATTAGTTGCAAATCAACATTTTAGTCATGATCACCAGCCAGTTAGAATCAATCTTAATTTGGGAGAAAAAAATAAAATAAAATTTGTATAATTTACATTGGGTGCTGCTATTAAATAAAAAATAATGAAACAGATGATTTAAAGCAGGGCATTTTGTCTATTAAACTTGGTGCCTGACTGTGTGACCCACCCTAAGCCATGACCTAATTTCTCTTGTTTTTCTGACACCCTGTTTTTGCTGTTGGGTTAATGTTACTGTGCCTCTGATCCCAGCTTGTTACTTACCTTGCAGTTTCATGAGGCAGGATAAAATAGCTTTGCTGCTGCTACTGAAAGGGGGAAGTCTACTACCTCTTCCATTCCCTGTTTTTTTTTAATTCAGTTCAATAGCTTGTAAGACTCCTCTTGTTCTAGTGAGTTGAAGTAGTTCCATCTCACAAATGTGAATCCTGCTACTTGGATAAGGGAATGAATCATCTCACAGGTCTACCAAGCACTAAAATTCATGCACAGAAGAAAGCAGGCTCTTTTTTGGCAAGAGAAAGAAGGGGTAAAAAATTTCCCCCCCGACCTCCTCCCTTTTTCATGGCAGCTAGATCTTAAATTGGACCAGCTGCTCGTGAAATCACAACCTTGGTACTATGGTGTTGTTGCTTCACTTGAATACAGGATACTGGTGTTAGAGTAGCTGGGGAATGCTCATATTCAGCTTGGGAATAAGAATTTAACTCTGGCTCAGGAAAATAGTTGCAATAGAACAATAAATTTCTAAAGGCTTACACTTGACTTCTTGTCCCATATTTTTTTATGGTTGCAAAAATATATTGTAAGTATGGTAGTTATGAAACTAAAAGTGTGGTTTAAAATACAACCACTTTAGTTACAATAAGATACATTATTTTTCAGGTTGAAGATGAATACAGAGTGTTTCAAGAAGAAGCCAAGAAACAAATTGAGGATCTCAATGTGACTCTAGAAAAACTTCGGACAGAACTAGATGAGAAAGAGACCGAGAGAAGTGACATGAAAGAAACTATCTTTGAGTTGGAGGATGAAGTAGAGCAGCATCGTGCTGTGAAGCTTCATGACAATCTCATCATATCAGATTTGGAGAGTAAGTGTTACGGGTTTCTCTTACGAGAGAAATGAAAATTTAACAACATCGGAAGTAGAATGCTGTAATACTGAAAATATTTTTGCTTGTCTTTTTTATATCTGAATTCAAGTCTGACTGGGCTTTGCAGAACCCTTATACACTAGGGGAAAAAAATCAAGTTGGCTTTGCTTTTCTAGTCCTGGTAACAGTTGGTATGGAAATGAAAACCTATGAATTGAGAATAAATATCACATCTGATAATGCTGTTTTCAAGTTGTTTTTCAAGGTAGAACATGATGTAATTACAGACTTAATAGTATGCTCCTTGTGCATTTTGTAGACTGAATGACTGATACAGTGTTTTGGTGTGTTTTTTTTTGTTTGTTTTTTGTTTTTTTTTTTTTTTAAAATGCTCTAGCTTTCGAGTGCCTGAATGTTAGGGCTTACCAGGTAGCTTGAGAATGTTTATAATTTATGATTTCTCCCACCTTAGGAAATGTTTTTTTAGCAGAGAAGTGGGTGAATGGAGGCCCTGAAAGTTACAAATGTTTGAGCTGACTTGACAATATGTGGATGTATTATATACCTCTTTCTGTGTAGATTTGCTGAAGTCATGAAACTGATCTGTGAACCTAAAAATGAATCTGACAAGTCTCAAGCAAGTTAGAATAAAACTTCATCTGTTTACCTTGCCACTGTACAAGAAATGATTGAGGCTTATAATGAAATTCGTGTTTACTGTATACTTGTCTAGCTCCCTGTGCCTTAGTTCCTTCTCTGATCTCCAAGACCTGCTCAGACATTCCTACCGCAGTCTGGTATTATGCAATTAGTCTCTAGCTTACTAAGAACTTGGGCAACTGTACCCTGGCAAGCTGTATTTGCACAGTGCTGCTTACAGAATTCAAACATCATGCTATTCTTCAATGGTATAGAAAGACTAAACAAGATAGCAAAAAAAAAAAAAAACCAAAAAAAAAAAAACAAAGCATGATCCCTTTTTAACAGCAAGGGAAATATTCATAGAAGGGATTTTAAATTGGTCTGCTATCAAGAAAAAGTAGTGTCTTAAGTTAATTTGTTTATTCATCTGAAGCTGTGTCTTCAGACATGGGGCTGTTAGCTTGGTTTCCCTAAGTAACCCTCCTTTATCTTGAAAGACAATCACTGTTTCTCGTTACAAAATTGCTTTAGGTTTTTATTCTGTAATTTTCTTTTGCTCTTTCTGTTCCAAAAGCAAAGACCAGCGTTTACTTGGCAGGGGGAACTGAGGCACATGGTCAGTGGCTCTGACTTTGTTCCTGAAGTAATTGTGTAGCAAAGTCGTAAAAAGGTTAAACACTTTTCTGCTTGCATTGTTTTGTCCCAGTAACCGAAACACATTCTTAGAGAAAACAGCACAGGAGTCAAGTAAACATTTAGGTATCTCCCTACTAATGCCCAATTACCAGGCAGCTCTAGTTTTCAGATGCTTCTGTTTTGGGGGTACAAAGCAGGTGTCAGATATTTCACTTAGTGGTAAAAATTCAGACAGATAAACCTCTGTCTGGGCAGAAAATTTCAACAAAAATTGCCACAGATTTTGTTACTCATCATTCTTGAAATAGTTTGGAAAATTCAACTACTAGCTGATGGCTGGCCTGGTGTGATACTTTAGGGAAGAAAATCAATATTTTAGTTATAGGCAAGAAGGAGAGTGACATCTAGTGGTGGTCAGGAAGGATGGCACACAAAGAATAGTTAAATATTTTACTTTGACCACTTTAAAACACTGTTCGTTATGGGTTCACAATTAAACCTTGTACAGGAGTTTCTTCGTGGTAGCCTCTAAGTAGTGACAGCAAAGAACAGCATCTCAGAAATTCTGGGATTTGGAGTTCGTACATACAACATAGAATTTTAATAATTTGCATTAAAGCAACAGAAAAGCATGTTTTAGTAGTAGTATATTATCTTACGGTGATCAGACTTTTGGTCAGTTCTGATATTCTGTCAGCCAAATGTACAATACCTGTGCTTTTAAATGTGGGTAATTTAGTGTAGCTATTATAAAGCACTAGTTAGAAGAATGGTGTTTTTTCAGTCTAAATAGCCAAGTGTAAAAAAGATCCATAAAGATTTTCTTTAATCAACTTCCATTTTAGATTTTAAAATATGAAGAAATCTAACCCACCCCTTAAGGAGAGAATTTGCCTAATGGCAAAGTTACTGGGTTAATGAACATGATGGCAAGACAACTGATAAATGATAAGTAATAGAAAATAAAAAAAATCACAAAAGGCAGACTTTACAGTTAGGAGAAAGATGCTTCATAGATGAGGTGGTGAGTGTTCATTCAATATAATGGTTAATCAACACTAAATAGTAATGTAGGAATGTGAAATGCTCTGCCACTGGTACTTAGGGTGCACTTCATTGTGGGCTTTCCAAACACCGAAAAGAAGCACAGCAAAGATATAATGAAGTATTTTTTACAGTAATCTGAATATGGAACTGTCATATTTTAGCTTTTAATATGTCTGCCTGCAGAAACTGGGATCTCTTTGACTTGAACAGTGGGATGCAAATTGCACTGATTAAAAAAATAAAGTATGTCCCTGATGCCCATCCAGATGTGATGGGAACTGTAGTCAGTGACAGCTGAACTTGTTACTGGTGGGATAAGGAGTTTTAAGTAGTATTGTATCTAAAAAGTCTAAGAAATAGTAAAATAACCTGTATGTTTGATATCTGCACTAGTGCACTGAGGTGAAACAGCCTGTAGTTGCGATGAGTCTGTAGGTGCCGGAGTGGAGGTGAGGGCCTGGAGAGGGCAGGGCAGCCGGCGGGCGTTGCGCTAGATGGCGTGTTTCCTCTGGTTTTCTTTTCTGGCTTCAGAAATATTTTCAGTAGTCTGGTAGCCAAGCTGTCATATTAGTCATCTTTGATGACTAAGGGAAAAAAAGAAACCGGTTACTCTTCCAAGCAGTTAACAAGAGTTTGTGGGGAATTTTTTTCAGAGAACTTTGTCACCTGATTTGCAGAATGTTTGTAGGTTGGTTTATCAGTTGTCAGATGTTTCTTCTGAAGCCTGAAAGTACTCATTGCATGTTCACTTTGCACAAGGTACATGTGCTAAACATATCCGTTCTCTTAATCTGTAGCTATTTTAAGTCAGTACATTTTTTGGACAAGGGTAGGTGAACAAGAAGGTTGATGTATCTAATGTTCAGTGAATAAATAGTTCTTTTATGGAGCTGACAGAGTTAGCTTTTAATTCTACTGTATCTCATTTTGAAAAGGATCTTGACAGCAGTTATGAAACTAAATTTCTACATTACCATATTTAGGCCTTTTCTACCATAGAGCTGGAAAAGTCAATTGGATGTTAGTTTTCTAATCGTTAGTACTTTTTCTTTGTTTGTTTTAGTGTTGAACCCTTAAAAAATTCAGCTTTTTTGCTATATAGACCTATTGTCTGACAACGATGAGCTCAAAAGCAAGATTGATATGCAAATTGCCTGAGTTTTTGTATATTTGTAAGCAGTGCCTCTTCCTTCAATAAGGAAGTTATAATTCTTAAATTAACTGTAAAGCTGGCACAACTCCATGTAGATGTGATTATACTGGGATAGCCATTTCTATGCTAACAAATTGAAATGCTGTCCTACTATAATGCAAACCAATGTAACTAGCACAAAAACTGTGAGAATGCCCGTTGTGGATTTGCCTGTGTCAGGATTACTTGATTTAGTCTTGCTTATCAGGGGTTATAATGTCATATTTTGGAACTACTATGCATCTCTGAATATTGCCTTTTTACCTCTTCCCACCCCCCCCGAGACTATTGAAATTAAACAATTGAATGTTGATACTCATTTTTACTTCATAGTGATAAATTCTAACTGCTAAATGTAATTATTAAGAGGTATAGATACAGAATACAGTGATATTTTTTCTCTGGCAGCCTTACAAAATTCAGATGATATCTTAGTTTCTTCCTCCCACCTTCAGTCCTAGTTGTAATGTTTTTCTTTATAATTTGTCTGCATTTCCCATAATGAATTTTTCTACCTTTTAAAAAGGAAGGCCTTGTCAAACTGTGAATTAAATGAATATTGTTTTGTAAAATGTAGATTTAATTGAATCCTGCAGTAAAACACAAGCAGCTTGCTGATTTGCCATTTTTGATTATCCTATTCATTCATCGGAATGCTCCTTATTCTTTTCTTTCCCTAATCAATAGTTACCTTTCCTTTTATCTTGGTCCTCTTTCTTGTCTATATTCCTTAAAAGGAGGGCTGGATAATGGTGGTAGAGAAGTAACTGTCCTACCCTACTGAAAATTGCAGCACATACAGGTGGAAAGGGTTTGTGTGTGTTAGAGAAGAATCATGGAGGTTGTGAGGATGCAGAAAGGAACGTACCACAAGGCAGCTGTACAGAGAATTGCTGCCTGTGTACCTATTTTGACTACTTGAATTTTCAGGCAGTACTTGGTGACACAATGTGAAGAATGGAGTTCAGGCTGTAAGAAGTGAAATCACTTATCTTAATTATCTTAATTTCTCACTACTTTTCAAGTTCAGTTGCAATTCGGTAGTTCTTTTCAGTTCTTTTGTTTGTTTGTTTTTACAATCTCTTTGACTGGGGGAGAAGATGGTTTCCAACAACTGCTGTAAAGTGCTCTGTATTGTTTATGGTAACTGCAGAATATTCAGACCATTGTGTTTTACTTCAAAGCATAAATATACTAAAACTTAATGGTGCATTTCATATCTCAGAAGCTCAAAACAATGGCATTACACAAGCTTTAACTCTGGATGCATTTATAGTTTCTGGTCTGTGGTTATTTTTAGATGAACTCTAGCTTGCTTTTACTAGTAGAATAAATTTTATTTTTAAAAACATTTATTTTGAACTGTCTTTAAAAGAGAAAATGGTCATCCATTTGATTTTTGTTTCAGAACGCTACTGAAAGCTCTTTAGGGCATGTTGACTTGCTGTCACTGTTGAAAGTTACCTAATTTGCAGCGTATTTTTTAATCATGTATTTAAATGCAAAAACGGTGTGGAGGGGGAGCAACTATTATAGCTTTGACCTAAAGCTGGCATCTCAGTGCTGACTTTGTATACACAACTTCTTTGAGCTAGAGACAAGCTAAAAATTGGAGGGCTTTGCTTAAATGTCATGGCAATATGAGATTTGAGTGGCCCACTCTATTAGGCTTATCTTCAAAGTTTAAAGATCAGTTGGATGCATTTTAAAATGTGCAGTCTTATAAGGAGGAAATAAATACAGAAATACCTGACTAATTTTAGCATTTCAACTTTTCCAGGCCTGAAAGGTTGTCATGCTTTCAGGCCAAGTGAGGTTTATACCATTCTTGTAAAGAAGTTAGCCATAGTATTAAATGCCTCTGTACTTGGGACTATAGAGGCAAAACTTAAGAATTTCTTCTGGTGAAGAAACCAGAAAGAATTCCATAGCTAAAAAATTGAAATGTTCTTACAAGTTGAGGCTCCTGTACGTACACATCAGCAGAAACCAGCTTAAATCTGTTCTCAGTCTTTGTTACATCTGAATTAAATGTTTTTGAAATGCTTACTATTTTCTGTTTGATCTGCCATAGTCTCATTTTTATTGTTAAGAAAAGCCCTTTGACAAAAATCCAGGAGTATGGAAGGTATAGGCTTACTTGGGAGGACATTGGTAGGTATTTGTAGAACAAGTAGGTTTGAATAAACCCTGGTTTAATGGTTTTCCTGAGACCCGATACCTAAATAAAGGCACTGGAAAACTTTTTCATGTTAGAAAATGAGAGCCACAAAGCTTTACTCTATCAGTCTGTTTGTATGAACATATATACCTATCTCCTGACTGTTCAAACATTTATTATGAAGTTCCACAAATTTTTGCCAAGATTTTGTATTCTGAACAGTCTGAATGTATTAGGCACCTTCAGTCTTTTTGTGGAAAGAGTACTGCTAATATAGAGAGAAAGCGTTTCCAGCAGATCTTGAAATAATGAACCTGGACAGAAAAAATACAGTCAGTTGGCCCATCATTGTTACAGTTTGGATATAGCTAGACAATTCTATAGAAATAGATACTAGAATCCAAGGATAGGTGAAATGACACACTAATTAGAAATTTATGCTGTGTTCTTTATTAGTTGCTTAGTTGTAAGAATGGTGTATCAATCACATTGTCCTCATGTATTGAATAAAGTAACGAATAATAATTGCAGTCAGACTCCATGTGAGGAGTCAGTGGTGATCAAGCTTCATACCCTTTAGTATAGCTGCTGAGATTTAGGGGACCATCTCTTTCATAACATGATCTCATAGACTGTTTGTCCCTTGCTGTAAATACAGCTCGCTTCAACTTCAGTTAGTAGCTTGATAGACAAGAATGTAAGATTCTTGAGAACGAGTAGAATTTTATCCCCATTGAAGTCATGGCTGTGCGTATTATGTCAGCTGCTTTGTGGCAGGGAGTAAATTGTGAATCAAAAGGCTTCATGTAGCTGCACCTTAGGTTTGAAGAGACAACCCCTCCAGACATCCATGTTTTTAGCATCCATCCATGTTAAATTATGTACCTTATTTATTTACTCTTTGTTATTGCTTTGTCATTTTAATATTATGAAGAGTAGAGAAGAGACTGTGATTTGTATAAGAATTGAGTTTGCTTACGCTGTTCCCTGCACCAGTCATAGAGGAGTATGTACCTATTGACACTTTCTGTCAAGTTATTTCTGCTCATACTATTTCTCTCCAGATGGCTTTGGTTATAAAAATGTTTTCTCTGAGTAAGTTTTTAAAAGCATTTGCAGGTTTTTTCAGTTACTTTTTTTTTTAAGTAAATACATCACTGAATAAGATCTTACAGAGATTTTGACTTGCTTTCCAGATACAGTTAAAAAACTTCAGGACCAAAAGCATGACATGGAAAGAGAGATAAAGAATCTTCACAGGAGGCTTCGGGTAGGTTAAACCTAAAAACTCCAGAAACTGTAAACTTGGAATGTCATAAGACCTGTATGTGAAATTGTGAAAAGCTAATATGATTAGATATAATACCATTAAAATAATTATTTCTGAGAGACAGGCATCATGTGGCAATATATTTACTAACCTACAGACACTAAAGAATTAACTTCAGAAAAATTCTCAGTGTCACAAAAGTATGGTGTTGGGCTTAGGAGAAAACATTCCTGTGTCGTGTGACACATAGTTTAATATTAATATCTTTTTTCCCCTCTACATTTTCTTTGTTTCTAGAAAATAAGTTAATGATCTTGGAAGTCTAGTTATATTCAACAAAACTTCTTCAATTTAACTTGTAAGTTAGGTTGTGCCTAATGCCAGACATGAGGGCCTTTATCATGCCTGTAAATTGTTTCCTGTAACAGCATAGGGAAACTATGAATAATAAGGATAACTTATTTTTAACTTCAAAATTCTTGTTGCTGCTTTCAATTTAAAGTTTTATTTACTTATAGGAGGAGTCAGCAGAATGGCGTCAGTTCCAGGCTGATCTACAGACTGCAGTGGTTATAGCAAATGATATAAAGTCTGAAGCCCAGGAAGAGATAGGAGACCTGAAGCGTAGATTACATGAAGCTCAGGAGAAAAATGAGAAGCTCACTAAAGAGTTGGAGGAAATAAAGTCACGCAAGTATGCAAAAGACAACAGGGATATTGTCTCTTTTGTAGCAGGGGGTACAATTTTGGAAATCCAGTATCTTAACTATTATAGAGACTTGGGTAGTTCATAAATCCTTTCACTGTGAGGATCTGTATTTCAACGAGCTGCTTTTATGCAGGCTTTCAGGGTTTGAAATGGGTAAACTTATAAGAACAATATTTGTTTCTTTACACTGTGTACTTAATCCATGCAAGAATATTAAGTTTGATGCTTCTACAAAACCAGATTGAAGTGGAGGAATTTTCCCATTTAACAGCTGGATGTGATTTAACTCCCTTCAGTGTGAAAAACAAGGAGTGTTGGCTTTTCTGTACCATCATTAATACTACTTCTTAACAGCCAATTCTTCTGGTATGGTTAAAAACACAGCTGGATTTTTATCTGAGAAGAAGCCTTAGTCTAATTCTGCATATATCTTGTACTGTTTTCTTTCCACTGATAATTATTTTTAGGAATAATTAGAAATGCTTTGTGTATAAAGACATTTTTAATAAAAATAATTGGAATTGTGACGTATTGTGGCTTGAATTAAGTGCTACAGTTATTTAGAAACCGAGTTATAGATCTTTCAGAAGTATTGAAGTCCTCAAATCCATAGAATAGGAGCATCTTGGACAGCACTATCTGAATCCTCACTACATTGTACCTGTGGTTTGAATACATGTATAGCTTACAATTACAGTAATAATGTTTGTGATATGTACCTATTAAACAGGTTTTTTCCACATGGATGGGCATTTTATAGGATAAATTACACTTAACTCAGCATCCAGTAGGATATGAGATAATGTAGGCTATGGAACTTGGGGAAAAGCTGATGGTAGGAAAAGCAGTCTGGTTACATTGAAAATGGAAAATTACCTGGATGAACGAGTGGTGGGCGTAAGGCATCTCATCTGAAGTCAGATCACCAAATTAAGTAATATGAACAATTATTGCCAATACATTTCAGCCAGAAATATAATTGTTCAGTTACTGCTTGCAAGTGAACCTTCGAGGTTACGGTTGCACTTCTGAAAGTAGAATTGGCTTGCTGATTCTGGTCAGTATATTCATTATCATCGATACGCAAGCATCTTTTCACATTTGATTTGCTGCAGATGAAGAACAAAAAGGGAATTGATTCAGGTTCCTTGGAAGTCATGGAGGGACTGTACTGGAGGGAAAGTGTTAGGAAAGTCTGTTACAGTGTCTGAAGCAAAAATCAGTCAGTATAATTATTGCAGACTTTAGAAAATAGGTTGCTTCAAACAATTCTTGTCTTGTGAGTGACACTGAATACAAGAACCACCATAAATATTCTGTATTAAAAATCTAATTTTTGTTAAAAATGGATTCATATGTTCCCTAAAGATGGATGCCAGAAATGTATCTCCTTAGTATGCATTTAAATTCCTTCCTGTTTATGCAGGTGGAAGAAAATTCTCCCTTCAGAGAGAATTATTTTCATGTGAAATGGTGAAATCCTTAAGGCTCAGTTTTTTTCCATCCCTGTCTATCTGTGTGTGTATGAGAGAGAGGAACCAGGAATTAAGCCTTAAATCAAGTATTGATTTGATAGAATTTTCACCTGGTGCTTAAACTCTCTTGCTGACAATTAGTAAGAATTTACAGTGATAATTTAGGTTGATAATCTATTTCTAAATTACAGTGGAAAGAAAACTACGTTAATGTAATGACCAATTTGGACCATAGATTTTAATTTGGCTTCAAATCTGTGTTGATTTTTTTAAGACTTTACATGTTAAAAATGTTTTTTAAATGCATAAATGGGCTGCATATTGATTTCAGGCAGGAAGAGGAACGTGGTCGAGTGTACAATTACATGAATGCTGTAGAGAGAGATTTGGCAGCTCTGAGACAAGGAATGGGCCTGAGCCGCAGATCGTCCACCTCCTCAGAGCCAACTCCTACTGTAAAAACACTCATCAAGTCTTTTGACAGTGCTTCCCAAGGTAATTATTTTCATCCAGTGTAGTAGGTGTACCAAGTTACAATTTTGCATATGTTGATGTGGACACTTCTAAAGGCTTAGCTAATTCACAGGTAAGTTATTTTATTGTACTGTCATGACCTATAAATGATGGATGAAACAAACCAACCTAAACTAGATTGCACAACAGATCGTTCACTGCGGTTAAGTGCAAGCATCCTTTTTTTGTCTTGTCTTTTTTATTTTTTTATTTATTGTCTCATTGCCAATGACTCATATGCTAGATGCTTTGATTCAGTGCTCCCATATATTAGAAATGCATAAACACAGATTACACATATAATTATAGCTGGAAGCACAGCTGATTTCAGCCTATTAAAATGTGCACTTAATGTGCCAAATTAAGCATTCTAAAAGCCATGTAATAGCTAGAGCTGAGTTCGTTTCTTTGAATAACTTATAGTCATAGTGCTGATAAAAATGAAAAATAAGGTCCATCCAATATCACCTATTAAAAGATACAGGGAATATTTTCTAAAACTAAAGGAATCTTACTGTTGAGACAATGAACTTCACTGTAATTATGGTTATAGAAAGAGATGCTGTTGTCGTTCTCTATAGATGAGCAGAATAAGAAATCCAAGCAATTATCCTGAAATGAGAAGCACTTGGGTATTATCTGTGACTACTTTAGAGACCTTGTATGGATTAAAATATTTCCCTTGCCAGGTCTTTGGGTTTTGAATTTAATTTACAATAATGTCACTGTAAGTCTCTGATGTAAAAAAGCTTGGCCTGAAGTAGACTGTATTACCAGAGAGACTTACGGTACTGTGCATGGCAAATCTACTTTTAGTTGCTTATAACCTGAAAATTTGTTAAGGTGTAGAAGCGTCTTTGTATTATTTGGCAATTCTGTAAATGGTTCTATTTCCATACTTGTTCTCTTTGTTTATAGGTATTTACAGTTTTTTACTTTCCTAGTGTTCATTTAGATAGTTTCTATAATCTCTTATTGGATAAAAGTGCTTTCTTGCCAGAGTTAGTTTGGCAAAATGATAAATCCTCTCCCTTCTTTTTAATCTTTTATTTCAAGCGAATATCTGCCTCCTGCCTCAGCTTTTATGTCTAATCATGCTGTTAAATAATCAGATGACTGATTAACGAATCCAGTATTTGTCTTCATACATTTCTAAACATCTTATTTGTTTAATCCCAAAATTTCAGGGATGTTGTATCTAGTACCTGTGGACTTTGACTGGAAACTACAAAGGAGAAGCAGGTCATATAGGTTATCTTTCTTGTCTTACTGGCAGACCCAGGAGCCTGCTACTATCTCTTTAATTATCTGGAGTTCAGAGAACTAGTAATGCCATCATTTACATTTGCCAGGGTAATAGTATCCTGCACCTTAGCCCTGTCCACCCTCAGTAGACTTACACTTTTACCATGGATGATATATTCAAGACATAAAAAGAATGTAATTACAGAGGATTCAATGTGTAGGCATACTTTTAAATGATTTTTGCAGTGATTTGCTAATTGAAATTCTGAAAGACGTGATCTGGTAAAACTAGTAATGTAAAGTACAAGGTGAGAGTTCACTGTAACAGCCAGTCTCCTGTTTCACTGCAAAACAGTGCGATGCTCACGATGGCTTCCTTTCTGTGTTGCTACTAGTTCCAAGCCCTGCTGCTGCCACAATTCCTCGCACTCCCCTGAGCCCAAGTCCCATGAAAACTCCCCCAGCTGCTGCTGTGTCACCTATGCAGGTAGGTGTTTTATGACTGCACTTAATCCTTTGTAAAGAAGAGCATGTGAAACTGCAGGTGGTAATATACAAGTGTTGGCTGACTTTGTAGGGAAATAATGATAAAATGTTGCCTCAAGTAAGTAATTACTAAAGTGTTCAGTCTAATAAAAGTCTTTCACTGACAACCATGTTATAAATACAAGATTTGGCATAATTTGGAAGATCTTGTCAAATATTCCCAACTATTACTATTCCTGTGCTACTGAGAAGCATGAGAGGAAAATTTTATCTGCATTCCTTAGTTTTAAAGTTGCTGTTTGTCAGTTCTCAGTCCTGTGCCTGGCACGGAAACAGCAGTAATCCCCTTTGGGCAATGGACTGAGATCTGTGCAGAATCTGTCAGCAATCATCAGTATAAATGTATCCCATGTTGCATGGGCTTTCAATATCAGACATGACCAGAGAGGAATTAAATAATTGTGAATTTATTATCTTTGTTCATTTTGTACTGTCTGGGAGTTTGGCCAGTTGGTGATTGTACTGTGTATTTTGTCCTGTTGCCTCTGAAGCTTTGTCCATTTGTTCAGCTGCTACAGGAGCCTAGGTACACTAAGATTGCATCATCAGTACTCTAATGCTCAGCTTTATAGGTCGTTGCTGGTTTTACTATCTCACTAGCTGTGTGAAGTGAGATTATGGCAAAAGCCATCAGGTTTAAGGACAAAGCAGATGGGACCAGATTCACAAAGAAGAATCTAAGGATGTACTATAAGTTTTACTCCCTTAATATCAGTGATTCTCCTGTTGCCTTCAAGATATTGCTAACCGGAAGTACCAAAACCTGATTTTTACTACAGGTCAGCATAATGTTACGGGAATAAATCCTCTCTGTGTGAACTGAAGGATCTATATCCATACTAGCTTTTAGTGCTGAAGGAACAATACCTGGAACAGACTGGCTGTTCTGTGGTGACTGTTGCAGCTTTTATTCATTTGAGAGTGAGTTTCATGAAACAAATAGCCTTGAAGCAAAGAAAAAGAATTAAATGTTTTTTTGTGAGAGCTTCTGCTGCTTCCTGTGGCTCAGTCACTCTTGACAGCAGTCTTCTAAAGTAGTTAAATGTGACAAGCTCTCTGACAGATGCTTTGTTCCTATTGATCTGTCTTTATATTTCTGTTTATTTCTGTGCTCTCATAGGAAGAGGCAGACTTAATCTCGTGTTCTAAAAGGCTAGACCAGGGTTTTGGCAGACAGAAGACTTTTTATGAAGCCTAAGGCTTATTTTACTTTATTTACCTGTAAATTAACCATGAACCAAAGTAATCTCTTAGAATACTGGAAACCTGCTCAGGTTTACAGCTCCTGTTTGATGTTCTCGATCTGCCAGAATTACTTGAATTTTGAATTCAGCTTCTGGTATAGAACCAAGTCATTAACAGCTGAATACCCATTTGTGGGAAACTGCCTGGAAAACCAAGGGGAGGGCCTCTAAGTGAAAACAGCTTCTATTGTCTTTTTTGAAAATAGGTGGTTTTCTAAAAAGTATTTCTAATTATCCAGAAGGCAGCTGGGTTTTGTGACCTCAATTATGTAAATTGCATTTAGAGAATATTTTCTGCTCAAGAGATAAGGGGGTTTGATTCAAAACCAATTTTCATCTTTTCTTTTTCTTCGTTTTCATGTCACTACCTTGTTTTCTGCTGTTGTGTGCTATTCATTTTTTAATATATTTTTTGTCTGCGGTTTTTGCTCTCTTGCAATTGAAAAGCAAGATTTTGATAAGTAGTCACTATATGAGTTGTCTTATCAACTCCCACCTTACAGAAGTCATCCATGATTTAAGATCTTCAGTAAAGTTGGGAGGGTTGATCTCTGTATGGATGTTGCAGTGCTTAAGTTCAGTTGCTTCTAAATGCTGTCACAGGGGAAATATTTATATGGACACCTACTGAGAAACTGGCACAATTTTGATATTATGATAAGATGGATTAGTTGCAAAAAAGATTCCCCAAGTACAGATGCATCAACATGTGCTATCTCCGAATTATGAGTATCACTTCATTTTTGTGTTGGACTGTGTCATGAATTCCCTCAGTCTTGGAGAGTTTTTGTTTGCTTTGTTTGTTTTTCTTTACAGTAATATATGTATGTATAAGGAGATACTTTCTTGGATACATTTTTGCAACTGAAAACAAGCAAGCAAACAAAACTCTTCCTGGCTTCAGGTCCAAGCCTGCAGTGAAACATAGCTGTTATTTACCATAGCGCTCAGCAATACTGCAAAACAGTTTAGGAAGACAGGAAGGTATGAGGAGAATGTTCTTCACAGTGTAAAAACAACCCTGCTGGGGTAGCCCAAAGCTTAGCTACTCTGGTATGCCACTGAGAGTGACCAGAGCAGATGCCTAGGGATGAAGCATATCTGCTGCTTTCTCTGAGTACTTTCTTTTTCTGTTTCATAGCTGGAGGACTCTGAAGTAGATGTGGTTTCAGATTTACTGGTCGCCACTGAATGCCCAGCTTTGCTTTCAGCATATAAACTTTCAGGCTCCAAGCAATTTGGTGTCAAAGACTTCCATATCTTAACTACTTAGTATGTGAAGAACTGTGTGTGCTCTGAAATTGCCACGTATACTTGAAATACACTTCATGTGACATTAAGTACTTACAGAAGTACGTAGTGAAGTGCAAAGTGATCAGGAGTAGGTACCTGGATAGTGGTTGAAGGTCGTGGTTCCTTCCATAGTCAACAGCAGGATGAAGACACAAGGATGAAGAGTCAGAAGAAAATTATTTGGAGTTTAAGCGTTAAGGGATTAGTTCATCCTCCCATTGTTCTTTCTCAAATTTTAAGTGTCAGGTGTTTGTTCTCCTCTACTTTTTTTGTCTCACCTGTGTGCTGGTTCCTCTTTTGGACTTGTTACTCATTAAAAAAAAAAAAAATCTGAGAAGTCCTAGTTATCTACCAGAAACTTTGTCTTCAAACTAGGAATGGCTGTGAGAAAGTAGTTGTTGATGCTCTGAGCGTCTTCAACTTTATCTGTTTCTGTAATTACGTTCTACAAAGACTACTATGTAGAAACATGTTATTTAACTCTGTGAACAATTTTCTTCATACAGCACGTCAAAACTAGTCCTTAAAGTTTCTAGCATTTTCTTCTGCTAGACCTCAATGTAGGATGAATAAGAGGATCACAGATTGCAAAGCATCTGTAGTAATTTCTGTCCCATTAGTAGCCTCCATGAATAGCCTCAAAAGCATGTGATTCCCACAGTTGTTTGATCCTTTCATTTAGTGTTGAGGATTTGGACACTTGGGTAAAACACAAATGGTTTTTAGCAGTTAAATGAGTTTTAGAATGTATTTCTAGTTGAAGAAATAAAGGTATTTATAAAGGATCTGTATGTGTTTGCATATCAGATGTGTTTTGTTTTTCAAGTGAAATGAGGAATGGCTGATCTGCAAATTCAGCAAAATTTCAGTCAAGCAGAAAGTTCCTAACACTTGCAAAGTATTTCAGGAAAAAGTATTCTCTAAGAGACTTGTGCACCACTACTACTACTACTACTATTTAGATGATGCCAGGTGGAACTGGATAAAGTTTAATTGGTTCATTTTCCTCTAATTCACAGTGTATTAGTCACTACATTATATACTTCATAACTACATTATATGTCATTGATCATATTTGAGAAGTTGTGGCAGTGTGATAAAGTTCCTGCTGACTGGAGAAGGAGAAACATAACCCCCATTTTTAAAAAGGGAAATAAGGAAGACCTGGGGAACTGCAGGCCAGTCAGTCTCACCTTTGTACCCAGTGAGATCATGGAGCAGATCTTCCTGGAAACTATGCTAGGGCACGTGGAAAGTAAGGAGGTGATCGGTGACAGCCAGCATGGCTTCACTAAGGGCAAATTGTGCCTGACAAATTTGGTGGCTTCTTACGATGGCGCTACAGTGCTGGTGGATAAGGGAAGAGCAACTGATGTCATCTACCTGGACTTGTGCAAAGCTTTTGACACTGTCCTGCACGACATCATTCTCTCTAAGTTGTAGAGACATGGATTTGATGGATGGACCACTTAGTGGATAAGGAATTGTCTGGATGGTCACACTCAAAGAGTTGTGGTCAACAGCTTGATATCCAGGTGGAGAGCAGTGACGAGTGGTATTCTTCAGGGGTTGGTGTTGGGACTGGTGCTGTTTAACATCTTTTTTGGCAACACAGTGTATTGAGTGCATCCTCAGCAAGTTCACCAAGACCACCGAGCTGTGCGGTGCGGTGACACACAGGAGGACAGGGATGCCACCCAGAGGGACCTGGACAGGCTGGAGAGGTGGGACTGTGCAAACCTCATCAAGTTCAACAAGGCCAAGGGAGAAGTGCTGCACATGCGTCAGAGCAATCCCAAGCCCAAATCCAGGCTGGGTGAGGAGTGGATTGAGAGCAGCCCTGTGGAGAGGGCCTTGGCAATATGAGTAGATGGAAAACTGAATGAGAGCCAGCAATGTGTGCTTACAGCCCAGAAAGCCAACTCTGTCCTGGGCTGCATCCAGAGCAGGGTGGGCAGCAGGTCGAGGGAGGGGATTTTACCCCTCTGCTCCACTTCCATGAGACCCTGCCTCCAGTGGGGGTCCAGCTCTGAGTCCAGCTCTGGGGCCCCCAACATCAGAAGGACACGGAGCTGCTCGAGCGGGGCCAGAGGAGGCCACGAAGATGCTGGGGGGGCTGGAGCAGCTCCCCTGGGAGGCCAGGCTGAGAGAGTTGGGGGGGTTCAGCCTGGAGAAGAGAAGGCTCTGGGGAGACCTTCGAGCAGCCTCCCAGGGCTTAAAGGGGGGACAGGAAAGGTGGGGAGGGACTCTTGGTCAGGGGGTGTGGGGATAGGACAAGAGGTAACAGTTTTAAACTGGAAGAGGGTAATTTAGATTAGATCTAAGGCAGAATTTTTTCCCTGTGTGGGTGGTGAGGCACTGGCCCAGGGTGCCCAGAGAAGCTGTGGCCCCTCCCTGGAAGGGTTCAAGGCCAGGTTGGACGGGGCTGTGAGCACCCTGGGCTGGTGGGAGGTGTCCCTGCCCATGGCAGGGGGGTTGGAACTAAATGATCTTTAAGGTCCCCTCTAACCCAAATCATTCTATGATTCTATACATTTACTACTGGTAGTTGTAGTAGTAAGATATGTAATAAGGAACTAGCAACAGTGAAAGTAAGCCCTTCTCTGCAGTGTCAACAGGAGCTAAAAGACAAACAGTTCATTTCATAACAAGGAGACAAGACCAGTACACAGCAAGTTATCAGTTGAGTAATACGACCACTTTCTGACAATATCCGTAAAGGATGTTTGTTTTTAAGTGATATCCGGAAGCTGAGAAAGTGATAAAGGTATATGGTTATCCAGCACTGTGCCTGTACTGTACATACCTTTGTTTCCAGGCTGAAGTTCTGTACTACCCTGTCTTTGTAATGACAATCTCAGAGCTAACTAAAATGAAATATTTTTCTTGTAACCTCATTATCTAACTATTGTAGATATTTCCTTGGGAGGAACAGGGAGGGGGTGGGAGGGGGGTGTGGAACAAAATGGCTCTCACTTCGATACAGTCCTTGTCCTTCACATAAAAAGAAAAAAAAAATAAAATTCCAAAGTGGGTGAAGTGAACTTTAAAGATAATGCAAGTTTGAAATACCAGCTCTTATGGGAAGCTGTTGTAGGCACTCCTGTGCATGGCTCACAACTGCGGTCACTTTTCATCTGCACATTTAAAGCAATTATCTTTGTAGTATTTATGCAGGACTTTTGATATATAAAGTGATTAAATTCTTCATGCTATATTTTGGCAGTTGTTTTCTCCATTTGATTTCTAGCACAAAAGCATAACTTTAGTTTGATTCTAAATGATGAATAATTGCCTGTGCTACAGGATGCTGGAAAGTATATACTGTTAACTTTTTTTAGTCACAATTTTGGAATTATCTGTCTTGCCTTACATGATTTGATGTGAGAAACATCTGACCTTTATTATGACAATAAAACTCATCCAATCTTAGGCCGGAGGGAGGGCTGAAAGAGTTTTCAGGATAAACCCATTACTGGATTGATTGTGATTAAATATTGGAATCTAATAGAAAGGACAGAGTGAATAAAGAATGTACTATAATTTGCAATAGACTCTTTCAAATGATTAATTTAAAAAGAATAATTGTGGATGGCCTTCCCTGAGTCTTCAGCAACTGAATATGAGTTTCAGAAACTGTAAGGGTGATTATTGCATTGTACGGTTCATTTGTGTGATGCTAAAATGCTTATTTCAATGCTAGATTGTTGTGTGCAAGATTTAACACAGCTGTGATCATGTAATTGCATTTTAAGCTGCCAGAAGCCATGCATTGCTAAACATTTTACATAAAACTTGAAAAGAAAAAGTTCGATTCATATCTAGAGCAGAACAGAAATTAAAGTGACCTGAGAAATAAAGTGCAATTATAATTATTTTCTCTTACATATTTGACAAATGCTTAACTAAATGTCTATCTCCAGTTGTTCACAGAGCATCTCATTTAAGTAGGTGATAATAAAAGCTGTTGACATTCTGAATAAAAAAATAACTTTTTCAGTAGAGTTTTTCTTAGCAAAGTGTAGTTTATCACTACACCCAATACACCATTATCCTAATTTTCTTAGAAAAGGTACGAAGTTGTAAAGGCATATGTTAATAACACAAATCAAAGACTAACATCTTGGCTACATATAGGGGGTTACATTAGTTTGAAAAAACACATCAAGTTTAACCAGAACAGGTTTGTACAAATGAAATATAAATTAAGGTGAAAATACAAACACTGCAAGAGAATTCACAGCCTTAATATGCAACATAGGTTTGAGCAACAGGTTTCAGTTTAAAGAAGTAAATGTTACAATATCAATGCATAGTGTGTGTGTATATATATATTAAGATTAGCAAAAGCAACCAGTAAAGAGGACACACCATTTTTCACTAAGTATTTTTAAGGGTTCATTTTTTTTGTTCTTTTAAATCAATAATAATGTCATACCTGAATTTCTGAAGCCAATTGTGCAATTTCGTATTTGTTTTTTTTAACCTTTTGAATTACGCTTGACACAAGTATTTTTGAATTTCAGAGGCATTCTATAAGTGGACCAATCTCAGCTTCAAAACCCCTTGCTACACTGACAGACAAAAGACCAAGCTATGCTGAAATCCCTGTTCAAGGTATTGATTCAAGTTCATTCAAACTTTGTTTTTTAGCAATGCTACTAATACTTAAGAAAAAAAAATATATCCTTTAGTATCCAAAGCATTATTTTATTATATACTTTTTATTACAGAAATATTTTCATAGAATCATAGAGTATCTTGTATTCAAGTTTTTATTACTTGTGTTTTATCACACGTGGTAGCATGTCATAAACAAGCTTTTTTGAATTTTCAACAAAACCATGATTGCATGCTGATAACTCAGCATTATTCTGACAGTTCTTAATGTGTGCATAAGAGATCACTCACAAAAATCAAAATAACATGATTTCAGGGACATGTCTTGCATCTGTCTTCCAGACATTAAAAATACACACCTCTGGGGTTACGTTATGTGTTGCGTGGTTGTGGGTTTTTCTTTTCCCCCCAAATGAATCAAGCATGACGGTTGACATTTCATTGAATAACAAAATATAAACTCATTAGGTATTAAATCTTTAGAAGCCAGATGAAAAATTGAATGGAATTAAATAGAGTGTTGATTTATCTGTGTCCCAATATTTCACTGTTCTGTGAACTTTGTTTTGTCTCTCAAAACACTGTTCACAATGTGCTCTTCCTGTGAGAATGAATGGCTATCATGTGTTGGGTGTAGCTCTCTGATTTATGCCTGCTTTAGGGTGGTTTTTTTGTAGATGTTTCTCAAGATAATCCCCATATGACTCCAGGCTGAATATTTCCTCTCAATTTGGTATTCCTGAGGTCTGATGATTTCTAAAGGGTTGGAGTTTGGGTTTGGTTTTTTTTTTGGTAGCACTTCATAATAGTCTGAATGTGCCCGATTTCCTTCTTGCTTTTGTTGAATGCATCTTGAGGTTATTTGTACCATGCAGCTGGAGTTTTAATTTTAGAAACTTTGATATTTTTAGGAATATTGAAATGCCTTTCCAAGAAGATAGTTTAGGATTCTTTAATTGTTACAGAGTACAGACTTCATGGGTAGACATAAGCTTAAACACAAAATGAGTGGTATGCTTTACATAGTTTTTATGTTTTTGTTATAGTCAGTTAATGCAGGAGCAGGACTGCATCCAAATAGAGTGTGCCAGACGGAATTCCGTTTACAACCGTATATATTTTTAAAGTATCTGTGTAGCAATATATGTTTCTTATGTCGCCTTTTCAACTAATGAATGAGGCTTCACTTTTTTTAATTCTTATTTTTCATTGTCATGGTTTTCTTTGTGTTCACATTACTGCCTTCTGAGTGTTTCTATACAGGAGTATGTAAACCTTTTGTTTACAATCTAAAGATTTTATTTGAAGGAATATTTCTTCAGTGATAGGCAATAGCTTTGATTTGATGAAAATAAGGTTTGTTGTAGTTTGTTTTTACTCTTTGGCAGTAGGCAGATCTAATCTTTCTGTACAATATGTAAAGACACCTTTTAGACTCCACTGAAAGAAGGAGGAAGAAAAAAAAAAAGCATGTTTTTATTTAAAAAATAAAACCACTCAACCCAACAAACCAAAGGGGGGGAAAAAAAATCACGAGAGCCAAAGCAATCTGCTTTACCAATCCACATTGTGAATGGCATATTGAATATTTTTGGCCATGTGCTAAATGAGGATTCCTTGCTCAACCTTTTGGTTTAAGAAATCATTTTTTATAGAGCAGGACAAGTGGATTAGTAAAAGGCCTTAGGGAAAAATGATTAAGAAGGTCATAATGTATTCATAGTGAACTACATTGTTAGTGAGCAAATTTAGGCCTTCTCTTTCGTATGGATAAAATCAGTTGCTCTCACTAAAACAGCCAAATGCAGGCACTGGTAGACAATATTTGTGACTCTTGCGTAAATGTCTTACATTTGACTGGGGTCTTTGTTAATGATGTTCTCCCTTTTCCTTTGTCCAGAACATTTGTTGAGAACATCTTCTACCAGCAGGCCAGCATCTTTGCCAAGAGTACCTGCTATGGAAAGTGCCAAATCTATTTCTGGTAATATTATGGTTTTTAGATGATTAGTAAAATTAGGAACTCTCATTTCAACACTGTACTTACAGATCTACTTTGTCAAGAGACATCTTTGGTCTTCAAACCATTAAGCTCTTGTGAAAAAAAACTATTTAGACATTTGGAATAGCTTATTTTTCAGTGTTCAAGTTTTCTGTTGAAGTATTTGGAGAAAGATACTAAAATCCAGTGGTAATGTAATATTCCGTTTTATTGCATCAAGTGGAATTGAAGAGATTTTTTTTTTTTTAGTTGTTCATGTAGTGTCCTTATTATTGCACATACAGACTTGCACCAGCATGCCACTATGAATCATGCATGTAACAGTTGAATTCTATGTCATTTTTCCTTGTATTACAAATAATTTTGGTGTGCAAGGTATATGTGAGGAAGGAGACTCTTTCTGGCTGTTACTTTTTATTGCTTGGATGTAGCTTTTTTATTTTTGAAGTGAGTGAGGCAGAGAAGCATATTGTCCTTCTCTGATTAAGCAATTCCATTTTCATTTGTTGAAAGAACTATTGTCAGTGGTTTAAAATAGGAGAATTGTTCTTTTTAGGTAACAAATGCATCATTATACGTTATCTAATGCATACAAATGTTTTTTGCATATTACCTAGCAAAACTACCCATTCTATAGGACAGAAGAATGTTTGCAGTGAATAATTTGAAAATAATCCATTTTGTGACTGGCATAATCTACAAATATTCTTCAGTATTACTCATAGTCATTGCTGCACATTTGATGTTAACTTTGGATTTTTAAAAAATCGACTTGCTAAATAGAAGCTTATGTGGAATGTTAGTTTGCTATCAAGCTGACATCTCAGTATCAGCAGGGCCTTCTAAAAAGAAAGCTTTAAGATTTATAGCATAAATAGTGTGATACTGTGAAAATGATACTTTCTGTAAACTAGGCAGAACTAATTTGAGAGAAATATTTTTAAAAACACCTGTATTTGAGTAAATGGTTTCATGAAAATGTGTTGTAGATCATTTTGATTTGTCCTAAAAAAAGTAAATGTACCCCAAACTGTTTTTTTTTTTTTCCCCAGATTCTTGTGTCTGATATTTATAAATTAATGTAATTGCCCCAAGTCATTAGAAAGTAAGTCTCAGATATATGTGGAGAGTTGTATATTTTATTTGCACAAACATAAACAGTGCTGACTATTTAGATATAAAAGTCAAATGTCATACTTATAACTGGAAACTCTTCCATGCAGAGAATACATAACCATTCCAAATGTGGTTTTACGTAGTATAATGCTTGTACTTTCATTCAAAAGAGAAATTAATTGTCCTTTGATAAATGAAGTAAGCTCTGTGGAATGTGGCTGAATTGTCTCAGGTCCGTCTTCAATATATACCCATTGATGATATTTAATTAAAGTCTAGAGCATCACATACAGGCCATTTCGTGATTAAAATTAAGTGGAAGTAAAGCAGCTGTCATCTCTAAACTGTTTGGGGTTTGGTTTTCTTTTTTTCTTAACTACTTAAAGCTTAGCAACATAACTGCATGGACTAGAGAAAATTAAATGGTTTGGTGTTAAAATTCCTTCTCATTCATGAAAACCTTCAAATGGAGGTAGCGACATTCCATTAAGAAATATTAATCAAATTTTCTTTGCTTCAAGATACAGGCTTGATCATAAATGTTGTCAGTGCAGTCTAAGTCCTTGATATTTCCAAAGTGGAAAGTATCAAGAAAAATGTTGAAGCCTCGTGTTGGAGATAGGTTTCTATGCATGGTTTCTGAAATAATTATTGTCAGAGAGCAAGAATAATTTTGACAGTTTTTATGTTTGCAAATGACAAATACATGGGCATTTTCCCACTTAGTCTCTCGAAGAAGTAGTGAAGAAATCAAGCGGGATATCAGTGCACCTGATGGATCATCTCCAGCATCTCTCATGGCAATGGGTACCACCTCACCACAGCTGTCACTCTCATCTTCTCCTACGGCATCAGTCACCCCTACAACCAGAAGTCGAATAAGGTAAAAACCCTTTTTTGTGATGCATTGAAATGTGAATTTCATAGCTATCTGCCTGCATGTATCTAGTATGTAATATTGGCACTAAGAATAGAGACTATACTGCTGTACAGTAACCATCTTCAATAATCTTTGAGACCCTCAGAAAGTGTTTTCTGCAGCTCTGTATATGTTTTAAAGGTAACACCAGAAGTTAGGCTTTTTAGTTAGCTTTAGTTAGCTTATGAGGTTAATACCAAAACTTTATGCTCCACTAGAAAACCAAGCTAAGTCATGTCACTAAAGAATAGCATCATATCCGTTCAAAATGCCATGAAGCTAAATTCAAGAAATGAGCTTACAGCTTGTTGAACAAATCTTTCGGTATGAATTCGACCCAAGGAGACCACATGATAAACCTTAACTTTTGTAATTGCAGCTGAAGACCAAAGGCAACATGACAGGGTCTTGATTCCAGACTCTGCCAATTCATCTAAATAACCATGAGTGAATGGGCCTGGGTTATTTGTCCCACAGATGAAATCATAATGCAAGTCTAAGTAACAAATGACCAGGCAACCCCCTTTCATTAGTAATATGAAAAGATAAGCCCGTGATAAATTTAAAACTTTTCCTATCTGTAGTGTTAGCAGTCAAAGGACTTCAAAGTATTTAAGCCTCATGTTATGCAAGTGAGGTATATACTTAGCCCTGCTTCATAGATTGGGAAACGGACAGAGAAAGGTTAAATGACTTTCTCAAGACCATTTAACGCAGAGATTCCTGACAAAGCTTTTGTACAGCAGAAATATTAAACTCCTAATGTTCTGAGACGTTTGCAATATGTAATAATTACATTATAAAATTGTGAAGTTTAGAGCTGGGGTGATACTGAAAATGATTTTCCTGAAATCAGTTGAGTCATGCCTCTGTGCTGCTCTCCTTTCATTGTGCAGAAATTAAATTGAGTTTGGATCTGTGGGTGCTTTACCAGCAGCAATTAATATTATGTGTGTTAGCACCTAAATTTAGGCCAAGTACATCCATAAATAAATAAAAAAAAATACTAAACCACCTGCATATGGACTTTGAACTGGTAATGTATAAAGTTGCATTGATGGCAGCCTGCAGACTGTAGCAAATAACATGGTATTTCGTGGTAAAATTGTACAGTTATGATTATGATATCATCACTAAACCACCTGACCACTGACTGCAATGCTAAGCACTACAAGATTTAGCAGCAGAATCTGCAGCAGTGGGTGTGCAGTGATGAGCACGTTCTTTGGAACTGTCCTCAGAATGTCACTGATGGACTTCAGTTTGTTATGTGATCAGGTTTCTCTTTTTTTCCCCTACTTTTTGCTGAAAGTTCTTGTAAAATAAACAGTTATTGCTATAGTTCACTGAAACAAATACTTGCAGTTTACTGTTCCCTGTTCTAGTTGAAACTTCGTTGGTTCTTTGATTTGAAATACAGTTGACCTAATATACTAACATGTAAGATTTATATGTCAAACCGTTTCTCGTTGTCTCCATACAACTTTTGCTAATTTATTTTCTTCAGCAGTGTTTTCGCAACTGTGAGAACCTGACATACAGCATGCGCTCTTACTGGAGTTTGAGAACAGGCTGTACAGCTCCTTCATGGCTAAACAGTATGCTTAGCATAAAGAGAGGGAGCTTTTAATTTGAGTTCTTGTATGTTGTCCCAAATCTCTGTTCTAAAGTTCTCGTAGTGTTGCATAATCTTTGTTGTAGATTGAATATGCAGTCCCATTGTTTTTTATTTCAATCACCAACTTAAAAAATGCACCAGTTTGGGCTGTTGAAATATGTACTGATTAAAGAACTGAAGTACAGAATTTCTTGAAGCATCATTCTGGCTGTGTTGTGCCTATGAAGTTTAGATACAGTAACCTATTCAAATAATTTATTTCATATTTAAAATACACAATTAGCAACTTCCTCAGCATGTTAAATCTCTGAGATTAGCAGTTAGGTTTGAAGGCTCATACTGCTATCTTTCATGCTGAAAGGCACATACTGTTTCCTGTTTATTGTTCTGCTGTGCACATATTTTCATGGATATTTCAAATGTTATCTCTCTCTAAGCAACTTTGAGATCTGTATTTCAGTGATGACTGCCAAACAAATTGCAATACATATAATTAAGATTACTGTCTTAGAATTTTTCATTGTATGTTGGCACATGTTCTCCTCTTTTATGCGTTGAGTGACAGATGCTGATACGTGGAACAGTCTCTCGTGTTCCGTTGGTAGCACACATGCATGAAGAAATTCACATTCCCTGGATGCTTTCTTTCCCCTAGCAGGACGTGGAGAATTGCTACTTGTAAACGCGCTGCAGAGAATCCACTGAAAATACTATGTATTTCCACATTCCACCCCTCTTTCTAGTCACCAAATGGATTGTAAAGATCAACGAGTTGAAGATTTGAGAGTGAATGTATGCAATCTGTATGTCCTTTTGGAAATGTCCAAAAGGAGTAACTTAAGATATCATCTCTGTGGATATTGTGAGAATATTGCATAGATCTGCCTAGAACTCTTTAGAAAATGGCAGATGAGGAAATTTTTGCAGAATGGATTCACTAATAGCTATCTTATTTTAATTTTCCAATGGAAATTGTTAAAAGAACAACTGCTGACACACTTTATGTCCAGTAACTAAGCTCTATAATGGTGTAATACCTAGTCTTTTTTGCAAAGACTAGTCACTAGAATATCTATATAAATACTGAATCATGTAACTAGGCCACTACAAAAGTATTGATCTCTATAAGATATATATATTTTAATCTAAGCACTCATTTCTGAAGCCTGGTAAAGAGATACTTGTAATGTAAGACTTGTGAAAAAATGGCTAACTCTGATATGATCGTTCTCTTCCCCAATCTTTCCTTAAAGAAAAAAATTACTTAAGATATCTTGGCAGACTGGAAGTGAATTGATAACTTTTATTGTGCCAGTATATCAAATAGTGTATCAGCCTAGATAGATCTCCCCCCTCTATTTTGAGAACTCTACATCTAGGCAAATGTTTTGTTAATAACACCATGCTGCTAATACACAAACTTCTTATTTCAAGGTGACATTTGTAATCAGCCATGAGATGCGAAAGAGATAGCATCAGTTTATTCTTTTTCTAAATACAAAATAAAGTCACTTGAGTTAGCTTAATGGTTTGAGCTGGAACTTACCATGTTGTGAGTTTAATTTTTGGAACTTTTAGGAAAAATATCGCTGAGATTGAGACCCCTAGGAAAAAAAGTTTACTTTAAAGGAAAAAGAATGATGATTTGCTAATGAGGAAATTTATCCAAAATAACTTTTAAGTCTCTACAGGTATTTCTGTGTATTCTGGTTTTCAGTCAGTAGTGCTGTACTGTACTGCTTTCACTGTGACAATTTGTCCTGTTTTTAAAACTTTTGCAATATGGATTTCTGTTGCAAAAGGTATGCTACAAGCTCTAAGTTGCACTTCTGCTTCATTCCTAGGGAAGAGAGGAAAGATCCCTTGTCTGCCCTAGCAAGAGAATATGGAGGATCCAAGAGAAATGCCTTGCTGAAGTGGTGCCAGAAAAAAACCGAAGGATATCAGGTAACTGTAGATCTGTTTAATGTAGCATACTCATAGCTGCAACACATTAGAATCTGCCAGTGGCATAAACCAGGCTGCTCCACAGTTGACTGCATGGAGTGCAACGGCACTGGTATGTACTGTACTCTCTTCTTGGAACACATGCTACAAGTCCTAACCTAACTAACCTTAATAGCTCTTTAGTCACTTTGCTCCATGTCAGTAACAGCTTTTTTCTTAAGGGGGCAGCTGACCTCTTATGGAGGCACTTTAAAACAGCCTTTTACAGATTGCACTTTTGAAACTGTAACTGAAACTTTAGCAGCTTAAGCTTTAAATTAATGTTTCCTAAATGCAGTTAATGTACCATTCTTGGACTTGAGAAACTTTTTTTTTTTGATAGGTAATTAGTGTAGGGTATTTTCTATCTTTCAGTGTGTTCCCATTTGGTCTCTATTTAGGGACAGTTGTTTTATGAAGGTTGCATTGTCTTGCATTTTGAACTTGGGTTTCTACCATGGTTCCAGAGGGGTTTTTTCAGTTAACCCAAATGTTATCAGAAGCCAAAAGAACTAACAAGATAACTGTCCAGAGTTCCCCGGATTACATTATTTTTTCAAAAGAATAGTGGCTTCAGCAAAATAAACCAGGATGTTAATAGTCTGACCATGATGTATTTGTTTGGTTAACTTGTATTGAAAGTGTTTCGAGTTCCCAACACAATTCTCAGTTTAAGAACTTTACTCTTTCCATGACTTGAGACTCACAATGCAGGAGGAAGTTGAGAGCCGCATAACAGGATGATCGCCCATCCATAGGAAAAGTCGTCTTTCAGTACAATGGACAAGCTTGTGATATAAGCCCTCCCCCTTCTTCCTGTGGCACGTCTAGTACTAAACTGTGCTATTTCTGAGTATAAGCTTCTTTGTGGAAAGACCCTTTCTCCTTCCACACATTTTAAAAAAGGCAGGATGTTATATTTCTTTATAAATGCTCTAAAACTGAATGCAAAAATATTTTCCCATATTGTCTTGAAATGAAAGATGAATTTGACACTTTCCTTATCTGGTTAGGAAAAGTAATAGAAGGTATTCCAAACTTTTCATTCTGTACTTGTGTGCACATGCAAGAGCATGCTTTTATTTATATAGATTGCTGCTTATAATTACTTAAGGTTTATAAACACGAGTAGAAGAATATGTTTTGAGACTTACTGTACTTGCTTCAACAACTGTCTATGGTTCTCTGCTTGTGTTGCTAATATCAATTATCAATACCAGATAAGGATTTTTTTTTTTTAATTGGAACTTTGCTTAGTTTTAATTTTATTTCAAATCTACATGGATTCAAAACTGGCAAGCAGTAAACAAGCATCAGAATAATGAACATTTCCTCTCTTCATTCAGTCCTATTTAAAGAACTCTAGCTCTCTTCTTCCTTTCCTGTCACGCAAATATTGACAGGGTACCTTTTCTTATATCCAGCTGCTCCTAGTGTCTTACACTCTGCCACAGTTCCCTTCTATCCCCAGCATTGCCCATCATTATAACTTCTCCTTTTTTCCAAAACTACTATTTGCTTTTGTTTGGCTTAGCATCTGGGCAAAAGCCAGCACATGCTTTTTAGAGCTACCTGCCTGCTGAGTGACCAGCCATCTTCTGTCTCTGAGCTGCTGCATGTGCCACACAGAATGCTGGAGTCCTAAATATCCCAGCCTTTTCCTCTGTAGGAATAGCAGTAGGTCCACTTTCTATCTAGTCACCAATTTTTATCCTGTTCCCAATTTAAATCACTGTTAGCTGTTATTTAGTTACAAATATAACAGGTTAGAGGAAAAATACTTGCAAATTGAGTCTGTAACAAGTTCTAAAATGGCATGCAAGAGTTTAACCATGTCTTGGAAACAAGGAAAAGGAAGTCTTAGAAGGCTTTTGTTTCAGAATAATTCTTTTGTTAATTTTGTCCTATTCATATTATATCAATTGGTTTCTAACATAAATCTAATTAAACTACCAATATTTAAGGAAAACTCAGCCCTGTGAGCCAGTAATTTCTCAAGTATGTCTTTGCCAACATGGAGAGATGTATTTACTAATTCATCAGTTGCCAACAGCAATCACTTTTCTGGTCTTGTTTTCTCCCTCTCACCTGGAGTGATGTCTCTCAGCTGTAGTTTTTTATGTATATATGTATGTAAAATATTTATAGGAAATTATTTCAGCTATTGGTGTTTCATAGAGAAGATGGAACCATGCACATTGAGTTAAAGCCCCATTTCTAACAGAGCCATGTTTGCTCCTGTCATTGCACCTTTCATTTCTGGAATTACATTTTGCACTCAATATTGCAGAATAGTTGAGGTTTTGATTTATACCTGGACTAATAAACTGTAATCACACAAATAGCCAGACACAATTCTTAACTTCAAAAATTTTGTTTAAAGTGTACAGAGTTATAGGTGAGCTGCCAGTGGCTTAAAATGTTAAAAACAAGGTATGATGTAGTTGGCTTATCCTTATTAGTGACAAGCAGCATATGAATGAACATTATTCTCTTTGTAGGCCACCTGTAGTTCTTGAGCTGCTTTTTATTGCATGTGTTGAAAATACTAAAGGAGGAAAAAAAAAAGCCCAACACACCAAATTCTATACTGTTTCATAGAGGTTTCCTTCATTCACAAGATACTTGATACAGTGCTAGTTAATTCCTTGGTACAACTAGTATTTTTTTTTTTTTGTCTACTCAAGTTAAATGAAGAAGAACAACTTCACTCTCCTATCCCCTCTAGGAAATTACTTTCAAGCTTTTGATTAAAAGTCTTGAGTATCTGTTTTAGAAGCCTGAAATTTTGTGAATGCTAAATACTTCAAAGACAATGGTGTGGTGAAACTCTAATTTCAGCCTCTTAAGAGTGGAAGGATTTTAGTTAAAGCCATTCATGCACATTCGCATACATTTATGCCAAACTGTGCTTTCCACCTCTGAAAAATATATAGTTCCACATAACAATATTTGTAAAGGTATCTTAAGACTTTCTTTTTTTGTGAATGCATTATAATAAACAAGGTAATGCCTAATCCTTTTAAAAAACTACAACAGATTATTTGTTGTGCAGCTTTCTTGATTTATTCAAGCAAATTTGGAAGGGAATAAATGAACAGATTTCTTGAAATGTAGCTGCTAAGCAATATTTAACTTTGTTCCAAATCTGACATTTTTTTAGAGAGTACCTCAGTAAAAACAAAAAAAAAGGTTAATAGCCAATGAAAATAAGACCAATTCTTACTGATATAACAAACTGTATGGCTTTTCCTCTTACTACGTTGTTGCTTGTAATATACATGCTGTCTGAATGTTTGCAAGCAGAATTTCTCCTTGAAGCTTAGGTTTGGAGAATGGTCATCTGCAGAAGGTCATTTCAGAACTAACAGCAGGCAGGTTCTGTATTAACTTTCATCTAGAGCCTGTTCAATCAAGACAGTGTTGCACTCACTAGGTTACTCAGTTTAATTATATTCAGGGCTGAACAGGTCCCGAAGCCATAAAAGAGAAGAGTTGCTTTCTTAAGGGTGTTTTTTTTAAGCATATAGATAAAGGAGTGAATCACCTTTAGTTTTCAGATGAACAGGCACAAAATACTTTAAATTTGATCATGTGTTGGCTTTGCTCAGGATCTGACATACTAATTCAGAGCACAGTTCCAAGTGCTGCATTTTCCAGAGGGAAGAAAATCCTCCAGGCTCCTCTAAAATATGTGCAGTGTCATAAAACCGTCATAAATTCAAGATATCTTCAAAGCATAAAGTAATCCTGTCCAGCTGTTATGGAGCATTTAGCCTAGCTGGAACACAGCTACTTTCATTTTGAGTACATGACTAATAAAAGTCCAAAAAAGGATGTGAGCATGCATGTTTCATGTTAAGAAGGGGACCAATAAACAGGATACACACATCCTTACCCGTTCTTATCTACAGCACTATTTCAATTTATTTTCCATTTTTTTGTCAGCGTTCTGAGAGATTATTCACTTCCAGAAGTCTGACACCAAAAAAGCAATTGTCACAAGATAGCAGCAAGAACAGACTAAATTTTTTTAAAACTTTCCTTTAAGCTTTCCATGCTTCCTAATTACAGATACACTGGAAGACCTTGCTAACATAGCCTTTTAGTACCTGTCCTCTAATTCATGCTTTTTTCTGGAAAGACCACCTAATTTTTATCTCTTATACAGATCAAAGCTACATGTCTTACAAAAAATTTAAAATGTACTATCTACATGGCACCAGTAAACAACAGCATTGTTTAGTGATTGAGTGGTGTGATTGCGTAGGAAAGTACGTGTACTTAATGCTATGCTAAATGCACCTTGAAATCAAGCAGTGCTTTCATTTGTACTCAAGTAGTCGGTGTAGAATAACAAAACTAAAGGTAACAGATGGTTTGGGTTGCTTTTTCTGAAATCTGTTTTTATATACATGTCTTTATCAACATTAAGCTAGATCATATTCCACTCAAAATATATTGATTTTTTTTTTTTTTTAAAGCACAAAAGGAGGATTGGACTGACTGCTTATGTAAGCTTGTGTTCGAATAATGATTCCAGGGTGTGCAAGCCTTCCCTGGTGCTGTCTGGTTGATTCATCAAAGTAGTCAGGCTGCCAAAACACTTCTCTCCTTGGTTTAAGTTGGGATGCTTTAGCCAAAAATTGTTGAGTTAAGGAAGGGCATGCTTCCTTTTTCTGTTTGAATTGGATTCTGATATAAGAGAAATGTCAACTTGTTAGATTTAATTACGACAAAATTTAGAATAAATTATGAATCTGTCTGTATCTCTGTAAGTGCTTCAGATGTTAATGTCTGCAGCTATTACTGGGGTTTCTTTGAGAATGACTGCTCCTTCTATGGTTCTGTTTTGTGCCAAAACTGAAAAATAACATGTCTCTGGTATGGAAAGAAACATTAACAGTCAATATTTAAGGGTTTTGATGGTTTATATTTGCCATTTATACCCTTTTCAGAAG